ATTTTCATTTTTTCAAGCATTCAAAACACCCCATATGTAACTGTATGTCGATTTTTATGCTCGTCTGCGGTTTATTCCAGAGATTAACCGCTTCCCTGCTCAACAGGATATGGACGAAAATTTCGAAAAAGTAATGAAAATTGTGTTAGTTCTTTTCTTGATCCCTAACCCATCTTCTTTTATGTTTATATTGCTTTAGACAGAGGTTTCGAAAAGAACCGCAAAAGTGGCCAATTGAAGAGCAACCATTTGGCATCATTGAGCGAACTTTTGTTGGTACTATGATGCATCCTGTAAGGCTAAGCACTTCCATATACTCTTGACATCCTTTGAACTTTTTTACTTATTCCTTTTGCTCAGCTCATAATATAGGTAGAGCTACGACCAGAGAGAGGGTTTGTTAACATGGTACCAATGGGTTTCATGGTGCTTCGTCACTTTTTCAGAAAAATTCGGGTGAGTTTCTAGTTGTATAGAATGAGTTTCATGGTTCTGTTCACATGATCTATCTAAGGCGAAAGGAAATTTCGGGATATTCAAATCCACGGGTATATTTGAAGAAGAAGAGGTACGACAAGGAGCAAAACGTGTATTTGAAGTTATCAGTCAACATGCTACCAAAGTTAGTTTTTGTTTGAAAAGTCTTTCGTTTCACTTCATTCCATTTCTATAGGATAATATGAAGGATTTGGTGAGGAATAATGTGTGCGGTGACGATCTCATAACCCGCTTTGAAGGGGCTAGCAGCCATATGAGTGCGAAGCAGCGGGAGTTACTCAATTTGACCGAAAAGGATATCTACGCTATAGCACCTGGGGTCTTAGGTAAGTTTCCATTTCAACTTCGTTTCTCTTGGATGTAATTTACATTTTTTAGGACCTTTCCAAATAATTCGACCTGTAGCGCGAAACGGATCTCCCTACATCAGTTACAGCCTTCTGTGTTGTGCATTTTATAAAAAGCAACTCCTTTTTGATGCGGTGAGTTGTTCGCTCTTGAGTCTTTTGTATTACTTGTTTTTGCTACCATCAACATTTTTGTGTCCTGTTGTTAATTTTTTATAAATGCATTGCAATGGAGTTAGTCAGCGAACTAAATCTTAGGGCGCTATTCTTTTCGAAGAGTATGGCATTCTATCGTATATCTATGCTTTATCGTCATTGCTGGAATGACTTCATATCCTTACCATACACCGAGTCAAACACATCAGTTATGAACTTGCTCCAGCTTTGGCAATTTTTTTGAATATGACTGTGCTGTGAAAACAACATTCTGTTCGCTTAGGTCCGTGATTTGCCGCTGATGGATGAGAGTGAAAAAGCAGAGTTCATCCCTATACCGCCTGACTATGGCTATGCTGCTCCTCGTCTGATATTTGGTTTTACAAGTTTTGGCAACAAAATCCTTGGCTGGGGCAAGGTTGACCCCGATGTGCAACTTCTTGATTTCCAGTATCTAGTTATTTGATTAAGTGATGTATTTGTAATTTTTGCTTTCTACAAGGCCTGACTAGTTCTCAATAAATGTATTTCAGGTGTGTGATGTTGATTTTTCATTTTCATTTAGTTCTCATCAGGATTGTCTGGTTGAGTTTAGCACGGGGACCTGTTCTTTCCTTCACATCCCTTCTACCAGAGTTATGCTAAGAACACAGATTTCATGCGATGTTGCACGTAGCATTTACTAATGTGTCGCAGTCATACATCCTATATCTCACTATTAATGCTCGTTTGCCCGCCTATTCCTTGAAACACCACCTCTTTATCTAGGATTCTACTAGCTATTATGATTTATAAATTTTCTATTTGAAGTT